GTAAACCTTCATCTACTTGCAAGGTCTCATTACAATGTTTCCTTTACGGTTAACGATATTAAAGAGCGCCTTGTGAAAAAGTTGGTCCAGGGAAGTACCTTCCCTATTTCTGTCTCCAAGCAGTAATGTACCTAAGCATTACTGCTTTCTGGTTTTGAAGGTGTTCCAAGTGTGATAGGCGCATTAGCAGTACCCCTCAGATCTTTGCGATTTAAAGGTGTAAAACTGCTGTATACACGACCTCTTCGTCCTGTCACTTGGTATAAAAACAAAATATTATATGCTATTGAACATCCGCAAAAGAACGTACTTCGAAAATTAAAGTCCCCGTTCAAACGAGAAGCAGCTATTGCTCCACCGGATTACTGCTCTAGAAGAAAACCCAGTAAGGGACAAATTTATTGAATATCATTTTTTAACGAAATAATAACGCACACAATCAACATAGTCCTGCACTAGGGAACCCTCTGTCGCGAGTGCCATGGACTCGCACATAGACAGCCACAAATTACACCCAAACTCACCAGAGAAATAAATGTAGGCGATACAAATATTTCTTCCGGCCCGGGAATCGAACCTGGGACCTCTGAGTAACGGTCCGGCATGGTATGAGTAAGTGAGTATTACTAATAGTGGTGACGCCGGACGGAGCCGCTTCAAAATTCTACAATTTATCAGAGATTTCAAAACTTTAAAAACCTAGTAAGGCATACCTAGTCTGGTTACTGGTGACCGACTAAAAATGTTATAAGTCACTTTAACCAATTCAAAACATAGAAAACACTTGCTAGGCTCACTACTTACGTGACTACTTTAAAACCTATTAGCAATTAGTGAATAGTGGAATTTTACTGATAAGTACTGAAAATTTTTAATTACTCAAACAAAACTAAATTTGGTTCCAAATTTTCTTATCTTATCCAAGAAAATACGAATATCGCTTGTATAAATTATTAAAAAATATTGTATCGCCTGGAGATAAAATGACATTTCGGATACCTGTGACATTTCGGACCGTCATTTCTCTGATTCAGGACTTTACGATAACTCTTGTTATCGACCGATTCGATTTAATATCGCACGAGTTCTTTTCACTTTTATTCACAACACCCGAATCGAACGTCAAACTGTCGTATTCGAAACCGAACCGAAATGACGTCACACTCGTACGATTTGGGAGCTGCCACACGGGCGTTGCGTCGGCGTTGCTTCGTCGCAACTGCGTTGTACTACATATAAATCGGAACAACATGCCACACGGTGCGTTAAAACAGCGAGCGTCGGCGGAACAGCTCTTTTGGCATTCAGTCCGTTGAAATAATATGTGTTATTATTTCAACGGACTGAGTGCGGTTGCGACGACCCAAAACCTGCATCGTTTTTACTCAAACTTCTCGACCGGCCAAGGCTACAAACGTTATTCAGAATACAGTTATCGAATAAAAGTTACCGGACGTCCTATTGTTTGCAAAGCAATAATGTAATATGGAAATCTCTTATTATTTTATATAATAAAATATAATAAAATCTAGATTTTGTTCAATTTTATTAACATATTTTAATGCAAGACTAATGCATTCCTATATTTTAGGCCTTTAAAGTCTTAAAAATGTAAATAAAAGTAAAGTCAAGTCAAGTTCATTTGTGTTTTGGGCTCTCCTGTAAAATTATGTCTAAAGCATTTACATACTACGTTTTGTTATGAGGCAGTCGTGTACATCTAAGTAGAATAGGCAAGTAGTGTTTAGACTAGATACCTAGTACACTTTTAGAGCGCGTGGATATACACGCCGCAACCTCTCAGTCCTGTTAAAGCGATAACAACCAGAAAGATAATAATAATTGCCTCCATTTACGCCCTAATGACACTAGTGCATGTTAAAACTTGTAAAATTTTACAGTTATCGCTAAACTTAAGCACCTAGCTGTTATCCCTTCCCTTTTAGCTGAAAGTTTGGGACTTGCCTATCATTTTAAATATCTTGGTTTACTCCACCTTTGGTTTAATGGACTACGCACAAAGGTATAAGGGTCGTAAATATTACATATCGAACTACAGTACAATTAGTTTCGTCAGCAGTCGCTGCAAAACGGGGAAAATAATGGAATGGACACAACATCAAATTTTAAATGCGCACTATAATGACGTCATTGGCCTTGTAATTGACTATTGCTCTAACAATAATAATATATAATATAATAATATTTATTTTTCCTACCAAGGCTGACAACAGGCAATTGTAACCGCCTTGACACCTAAAGTGAAAAAAGCACATGTTTTAGGTTCCCCCATTTTTTTTCTGATATTAATTGACAGGAGGAGCAAGTCATGCTGATAGTAAGCTACACGCGTGTCCATAACAGTTGCAGTGCCAATAAGAGTTTTAAATATCAAAGATCTGAGGGGTACTGCCACTGGGCCCGGCACCCTGAGACATGAATTGACAAGTGCCATTTGCCTGTAATTTCACCTGCACCTTTACTTTCCACCAGAGATGTGCGACGTAGCGAGGCAGTGTACGAAGAAAAATCCACCAATAGGATTACTTCATTTTCCTAGACTTGCTTAACGTAGCTCTGATGGAAAAGGGCTAGCGGAGCTAAGTATTTGTTCATACAATAATCTCAATACAGAGTACTAAAAAACCGACCCCAAAAGTACATGGAATTACGTCTATTTGCTAAGTTTTATTGAAATATCCCCTAGTTCGCCACTATACAGGACTTGACACTGGAGATAATAAAAATGGGTTCTCACTACTACACTACACAAAGTATATTGAGTTAAAAACGCCTTAAATTGGAGAAATAGTCAACCATTAAAGTAATTGCTCGTAAATTAAAGTTATGCGCTATTTATAAAAATGAATCTTCATGCGTGAACAGCCACCCTTCGAAGTGGATGATTTTCTTGAAAATGAAATGAAACTACTATCGAAGTACCCCCTTTCCAACAAAAAAGGCAAAAAAATACAAAAAAATAAAAGAACATACAGTCGAATTGAGAACCTCCTCCTTTTTTGAAGTCGGTTAAATATAGCGAAAAATGTATGCGTGAGATGTGTGCGAGGGATGCGGACGAAGAATGTGTGTAAAACGATGTAGGAAACTAGAGCTACTGAAAGTATGACAGACACTGAGACGTCGCCACCGTTCGCCCCACCACACCGTACCCCGCCCGCGCATATCTGAAAAGAATCCGTAACGTATTCTTGCACCGAGCCGCTGCACATCCTCTCACCACCTAGCTACCTCGCACAGCTTTGGAGGAAAACATTGCGCCGTTTCACAGCGCCGCTACACTTCCTCGCACAGCCAGCGAGGCTGTGCGAGGAAGTCACACACACAAGTCACATCTCTGATGGAAAGGCAGCCTTACGCTTCAAAACCGGAACACTGTAATGCTGATATTACTGCTTAGCGGTAGAAATAGGTAAGGTGGCAGTACTTCCCCGAACGAACTCTCTCACCAACAGCTCTACTGCTAGTAGAAATATTTCAATTCAGTTTATATTACTATGGGTCTCGTAATGTTAGATGAATATCGAATAGCAGCCTAACTCAAAGTAGATGGCTTAATTAAACTTAAATCAAAATTTAAAAACCCTTATACAAAGCACTGTACTCCAATAAGTTAATAAAGTCATTATCTGTAAGCGAACATCTGGTCTAGACTAATTTAAAAGTAATTGAGGAGTTGGGTAACCTGCAGACTGTCCTGGTTGCAGCATCAGATCAAAGTTCCGTTATGCATAGCTATGCGTTATTGTAATGACATAAGATTTTCACAGTACTTATACCAAATAACAAGGCGATCGGACAAGTGGGCGCAAAATAAATTGAGGGTCGTATTCCAGGACTCTACTCAATGCTCAAGTCAGGATTTGAGCAGACAGCATAAATCGAGGCGTGAAGAGGCATATTGTAGGCAGGCAGGGTGGAGGTGGCTAGTGCAGTGAGGATTTCATCGCTGCACTAGGTTCCTTCGCGTTTGGATACCACTTTCCACTTAACATCAGGTGGAGTGGAGTCATTTGCCTGTCAGGTATAAAAAAAAAAAAAAAAAAATTGCAAGGACTTGAGTATGATTTTCAGTGCTCACTGCAATACTCAAGTCCTGACTTGAGTATTGAGTAGAGTTCTACAATACGACCCATAGATAGCTATATCTTATAACGAGATCCCTACACTAACCGAAGAAAGAACTGATGATCTTTAAACAGCTGAACGGATATGTAAGAATTTTTCCTTTTAAAGTTGCTTTCAAATTAAGGAAGCCGCTTTAGGATCAATCCATCCGTTTAAGAGCTACGATGCCACAGATAGATACGCAGTTTTTTTTTAAATAAAATACATAAGAGACGAACATGCCGTGCGCCTGCCCTGGTGGTAAGCAACACGCCTACCCATAACAGTTGCAATGTCATTCACAGCTTTAAATCACATACATCTGAGGGGTACTGCCAGCCACTGCGCTCGACTCCCTGAGAAATAAGTTGACAAATCCCATGTGCCTGTAATTTTACCAGCACCCTTACCCTTCCAAACCAGAACGCAGTAATGCTCGTATTGCTGCTTGGTGGCAGAAATAGGAAAGGTGGCAATACTTCCGAGAATTTAAGCTTAACAAGTGCTTAAAGCTTTTTTTTTAGCTATTTAATAGCGACTCAAGTTTTACTTTGGTAGGTTTATTATTCAGTGATGTACTATTATTTTTAACTTATGTGTACACCTAAAGGAAAGATTACTTAATGTGCGTATAATGGAATGGAACTAAAGTCATACCGATATGAACTTAGTGGCTATTTGTAGAAACTATTTTCTATTAACATTTTGTTCCTAGCCAACTAGCGCCACTTTTCACAACTAGTAACCTATTTAATTTAGTTGGCTAGCACATTGAAACGTCAAAATGTGACAGGTGTCATGGCATTTTCGAAATACGTCGCGACATTTTGTCGAAAAATACACACTTGTTTCGACATTTTTTAAAATTAATAATGTCCGAAACATGCGAGAACTCGGATTATTCATACTACGACGCGATATATTTTGATATTACGGAATTTCTTACCGAGTACGAAAAGTTGCCGTGTTTATGGGATAGGGCACACGAACTTTTTAAAAACCGGGAAAGCCGTGCGAAGGCCGAGGAAATTCTTAGCCGAAAACTCGGCATTATGGACTCAAAAACCCTTAGAAGGAAGATTAGGAGTGTCCGTGGTACTTATAATACTGAAATACGTAAAGTGAAGCTGTCTTTGGAGAGTGGACACGAAGTATACGTGCCGAAACTATCGTGGTTTCATTTAGCAGATAGCTTCCTAAGGGTGACTACTGACCTGCCCTCTGATATTGTGGTGAGTTTCTCTTTTAGATTGTTTCAATTTAATTCTGACTTAAAAACTGAAAACAAAGTATGGTATGTTCTTGAATATCGTCAGTTTAATGGTAAAACTCATTTAAAACCAAATCGACTAGGTAATGGAGATAATTAATACTTTCTTTTTTACTTGCAAAGGGATTATAATGTCGACTCATCCGAAGAACAGAGTCCGAAGTGATTATATAGCGAAAAGAGAATAAGTACGTTACGAGAACAATTTCGTTATTCAAACTAGGTCCTATGTAAAGGTATTTTGAGAATTTATATATCTTACTTCGTTTCGGAAATATAAAATCGAACAAAGGTCGATCTGACATCCACAGCGAAGAAGAACGAACGAAATGTACTATGTCCTGAGAACAAGTAGTCTTACACATAGATCTTTGTTCTACGGATGTGTCGATGTTATTGTACAGACAGATTTATGTAGCAGTAGATGAGCTCTACCCAGCTTGTGAAAGAGTTCACCCAGGGAAGTACTGCAGCCTTATCTTTCTGCCAACAACCAGTAATGTGAGCATTACTGTATTCCAGTAAAAAAGGGTAAGGGTGCTGGTGAAATTACAGGCACATGAGACTTATGAATCTGTGTCTACGGGTGACAGGCGCAGTGACAGTGCCCCTCAGATCTTTGTGTTTTAAAGCTCTGGCTCATGGGACTTATCAACCTGTGTCTACGGGTGACAGGCGCAGTGACAGTGCCCCCTCAGATCTCTGTGTTTTAAAGCTCTAAGTGACACTGCAACTGTTATAGACTGGCATGTCACTTCATCATCAGGCGCACGACTTGTTTGTCCAGTCACTTGCTATCATAAAAAAAGTTCTCAAAATGCAGTTTTATAATGAAGGACACTACGTGCATACTAAATTTTTCTTGTAAATGTTCTTCCCAAGTCAAATCAAGTTTTGTATGGATATCGCTCTGTTGTTATGTCATTATGTGTTATGTTCTTCCTAATTATAAAAATAGAAAATAAACTTCTTTATGATCAAAATGGGACTTGGTGAGTTTTACCTCTTAACCGACGATATGTTTTTCTTGCAGATCTTCAAAAAAAAAATTATTACTCACAATAAAACATAGGTACTTGTATAGGCAACATGGAAAGCAGTATCTGTACAAGTACTCCAGTTATTCAACAGAATTAACTAGCTAAGGAAAAAAATCACATTAAAATTCTTGTGTGTTCGATTTGATTGTTATATTATTATGACAAATAAGAGAAAAGGTTCATGCTGAAAAGAGCCTTGCATAATTTACATGGTCTAAACAGCTGATAGGGCTTTCAGTAAATGGATGGTTTACCCCATTTTACACACAGTATAGTGTTCTCGAGTACAATTTAAATCACACTACCCATTAAAATTTATTTACGATACAGGTTAGATAAATAGACTTGTCATTAACTATTAATAACTGTACAATGTCAAAATCATGTCATGATGGTCAAACCAACCCAAAAATATCTAAACAATTCAAGTGTAAAATTGTGTATACAGGGTGTCCGGTAAAGAATGGATAAGCCTGAAATGCCTTACAGTAGAGCTTATGAACGTTTAAAAACATATATAAAGAAAAATACATCCCATGTAGTACCTAAGATATATATTTTTTCTTTAAATTTAATTGTTTTCACCTTAGTTTACGTTTTTGTACACCACGACTTCAAGTTAATCAATTCTTTCGGTTTTTTGGTGTCATAATATTCTACATTAACTGTGCTAATATATAGGCAGTAAATAGTATGACTAACTATGGCACTTATATTTAAAAAAAAGTTTTATTTTATTTTCAGTGCAAATTTTTTTGTCACAAAGTTTAAGCATCTATGATATAAAAAAATTAAAGTAGAATTAGAATTAAGAAAAGAAGAATTAGAGTATTTAAAGTAGATTTCAAAATGGTATAATTCATTATTGTATATATATTGACACCAGCCCATTACACCAAGTACCATTGTATATATTTTATTTTGAACGTTCATAAGCTCTACTATAAGGCATTTCAGGCTTATCCATTCTTTATATATATATATATATATATATATATATATATATATAGTGTGCATTCAAACTGCCTAAATTATGTGCACATTGGTAAACAAGAGCATACTTTTCAATCTTAATTAAAATTTGTTTTGAATTTATTACAGAAATTAAAAAAAAAATATTTCATTTTAGTTCCAATTAGATTCCCATCAATCCAATACACAGAAGAAGTTACTACAAAAGCTGCCAAGACAAAAAGGTGTAACCGTAGTCATGTTGCGGAAGACAAAAAATAACAAGACTTATGGAGATATGGAGGAAAATGATGATTTATATGAAAATGAAGAGGTATTTTTTATTTAATTTTTCATATTATAATAGAAGTTACTTAATGTGGTGTACAGCCAATCAAAATGTTGCTAATCTAGAGATATTCACATAATTTTTATCGTTAATAAATATGACTTTTATCAGGTTCATTTTAACAGTATTGCTTTTTACTCATTTGATTTTAGATTTCTGTAATAAAGGTAAGAAAAATTAAAAATGAATATTAAAAAAAATTATATATGGTTGACTAAAATTTACTGTGTCAGGCTTTAAAGGACAACTTCAGAGGCAAATAAGAATGTATGCCATTCATTCACTCCACTCATGTGCTTATAGACTTTTGATTTATTGAAGAAAACTTCTTTTAGAATATCTAAGCAGCTGTTCGGATTACGCAAAATTCATTCTATCCCGTTCGTTGTGTTGGGCGCCAAAACTATTCATTTTCATTGCTCAATAACTCACAGTTTGTGTAACAAACAGTAGTTGTTTAACATAACGCACAACCACATTTATTTCGTTTTGGTTAATTCTGTCTAATTAAATTTTTATTGAATTGATATTCAATTATTTTTTGTGAAATTACTCCACTAGTTTGTTATAATTATTAATCCAAAGATCGAACACTCAGAAAAAGCGCGCTACGACTAAAAAGTCGTTGAAAGACCAAGTACAAAGACACGACGCAAGCACATAGAAAAATTCGTGAGTTCCGTTGGTTCGTTCCGTGGCTTAGTTGGTATAGCGTCTGGCACGGTATGCAAGAAGACGTCGGTTCGAATCTTACCGGATCGAAGGAATTTTTTCTGAGTGTTCGATCTTTGTATTAATTATTATAATTCTGTCTACTTAATGATCATGTTGTTGTTACAATTTTTATATTTAAAATCTTTTTTTACAGTATATAAAAGAAGAAATATTTAATGAAGAAGTCGGCAACTTTGTAGACACAAATATAGAGAATGATGATCGTGATATATCAGAAAATATCAAAGTCAAAATTGATGATCAAATATTAGCAATGGATGAACAAATTGAGGATGTAGATTCAATAAATGATTGTATAGAAAACATCGAACCGCCCGAAGCTGACCATTTGGATGATTGTACTCCACCAGACTATAAGAAAAGAAAAAGATCGACTTCTGTACAGATAGACAGTAAAAATAACACTGTAATGTTAACTAAGTATTTAAAACATTTTATCCAAAGTACGGATAATGAATTCTTAACATTTGGAAGATCTATCGGTATGCAATTACAGAAATTGCCAATTGAACTAGCTCTACAGTTACAAATGGACATACAAGCGCACATAACTAAAGCAAGATTGGACTTTTTAAAGAAAAATCCTGAATCATAGAACTTAAAAAGTAATTGTGATATTTTATTAAATATTTATTATCAAATATTATTATATTATACTTAAGGAAAATGGAATTTTTGTTATAATTTGTGATAAAACGGCCGCAGTATAACACTCGTTTCTCTATATTTTTTAATAAAATTGAATAGTCCGTGTTAAGTAGTCAATCAATTTTTAGGATGCTTAATTTAAATTATACTGGACTAAAGATTGCGATACAGTTTATCTTAAAAGTTGTCATTCGGTAATGACGATAATTAGAGTATTATATTATTCTCGCTTCACTATCTTATTTCTTCTTTTTATTCTGTCTGTCTCTATGTATTCGTTATCTTTAAAATTACTATGTATATGAAAAAATACGCAGAGAGATTTATTTCTTCTCTTGACTACGTTTTTTTAATAACGGACTTATAATAAGCGCTTTATGAAGATAAGCTTCTGTATGAATTTAATTTCTATACAAAATTTCCAACTTAGTTGTGATTTAAATGTGAAATAATAATATTATACACGATAGAGTATCAAAGGCAGGATTTTGAACGCATTTCGTATCCTGTCATACAGCTGCGACAATTGCTTCGCTCTCCAAAGGGCTGACTCTCGGTGTCCATATCGTCGGCGAAACGAGACGGAACGTGTCTTCTAGGCTAGTTGAGCATATCCGATCCATCCAATAAAGCAGTCTTCTTGGGAGTGACCTTAGATAGTAAACTTCAATGGTTTCCACATATATCTTCCCTGGCCAGCAGGTTAAGCTCCGCTGCATACGCAGTCCGCAGAATACGTGAGCTTACCGATGTTGGTACTGCTAGACTAGTTTACTTTAGTTACTTCCATAGTATAATGTCCTACGAGATTCTCATGTGGGGTAAAGCGGCAGATATTCAAACCATATTTGTATTGCAAAAACGAGCGATTCGTTCTGTGTACCGTCTAGGCTCTCGGGTTTCTCTCAGAGAAAAGTTTAAGGAGACTGGTATGACTGTGGCATCACAGTACATTTACTCAAATATTTTATATGCTTGTAAAAATATACATAATTTCAATAAGAAAGAAGATATCCATAATATTAACCTTAGAGCTAAGTCTAAACTCATGGTACCACCATTTCGTTTAACCAAGGTAAACAACTCTTTTATGGGGAACTGTATACGTTTTTACAATAAGATTCCGGAGCATATATTAAGTTTATCATTTCCTAAGTTTAAAAACTACATTAAAAATATTTTGATCGAAAAATCATATTACAAAATTGAAGACTAGGTACGTGTTAGATAAAGATGTATAGAAAGACGATATGGCTCCAGAATCCACACAAATTTGATTCAAAGTGTATTCCATAGCATTTAAGTTTATTTGAATAGAGCAATCCCTAGAGTTTCTTGCTCGTTCTTCTCAGGGAGGTCAGCACAGTGAACGAGCAGTAGCTTAAATAAGACGATTTCAAGTGTAAATTTATTTTACCTATGGAATAAATAATCTTTGACTTTGACTTTGACCATGAAGAACCAAGATGTCAATGGATCTGCGGTGGCAGACCAGTTTCTGAGCTCCGGTACTGGTCACTACATTCGTTTTAACAAAGCCAAAGTTTTAGCGCGGTAGAAGTATTTTGTGCCCCGCAAAATCCTAGAGGCTATTGAAATAAGTAGGCGACCAAATTTTAATAGAGACGGAGGCCGGAGCGCAAGCCCGACCTGGAAGCCGTGTCTTCGTGGCGCTCGGTATGCGGTTACTTTGATACTATAAAGAGTAGAGGCTATCCATCGTGTAACTATTCAACTGCCATTACAATTTTCTGGTCTTCAATGGCAAGTTCATGGCGTGTCGACCGTATAGTCTACTAATATTACATTTATTTAATTTGAAGACTAAATTGCAGATTAAACGAGACAAGAATTAAGATAATTATGCACAGAAAAATATTACTGTGCATAATTATCTTAATTCTTGTCTCGTAACCTAACCGTCGTTGTAACCTAACTAAACCTTCCATAGTAATCTATGGAAGGTTTAGTTAGGCAATATTGATCATTAATGAATGCCATCACTGCTATTCCACTGACACTATTGTGACTCAGCTGCTGTTACAACTAGATTTTAGCAGAATACAAATACCTATTGTCATAATTGCAATATAATATCAGTGCAGTCTCTATGGAATTACAATAAAATAAATACAATACTCAAAACTAGGAAATGTACTGTACTATGAGCATCAGAGCCATAGAATTTACTCCAGAGAACACCCAGATCAGGAAGAACCAATTTAGAGTGACCGTCAGGATGGCTGGTCGCCTGTGGCGTCTGGCACTGAGTGTATATTCAAGAATTGCTACCTTTTCTAAACAATTGCTGCCTTTGATATATTCTGAGAAATTTAAAAAATAATTGACCAGCCGTTCTGATATCGGAATGGCTGGTCGCTACTTTGCTCAGCATGAAGGGAGCAGATTTTCCAGAAGTATGTATTACCAATAAATGCTACTATAACAGGACGTAGCTCAGGTAGCGTAACGAGAGATACTTTTAAATATAAACTGGGATTATCTTCATAAATAAATATTTATTACGTTTTTTGGAGTCTTTCAGAACTGCCAAGATGTTATTTTTCTATCCTATTTTTTAAAATACATTCTAAACAAATCTATATTCATTCAGCCAGTACTTCTTCTCATAGAGTAGAGCCTAGACTACACTACCTATTTGCTACTTTAACGAATTAAAGGTATACGCTTTCTATCTACATTAGTTAGAAAAATATAAACGCTTGGAAATTTTATGAAGTGCTAACGCCTGCCCTTTATATTGTGGCAATAAAGCACTAAAAACTTTTGCTTTTTTAATTTAGTCAGGCACTTCTTTGTAAAATTTTCAATCGGATCTTAATATTGGATACCTACTCGAGGCTAATATTGGATATATGATGTTAGGATACTATATTAATTTAGAACTTCAAAGCTCTTCATATATGCAATTAATTTATTTTTTCATGTTCTATCTATAGTCACATTTTTTTTTATTACAGTTTTGATATGGCTTCCACTACAAAAAAAAAGGCATGAGGTCACGAATCTATAAATAAGGTTTGTCAAGCTGTAAATAATAAGGAGATAGAGATTATTTTGGGAAGTGACGGAACTGAAGCCAACAATAAGATTTTTAATGGAAATATATTGTTGTGACTTGCATTTAAATAAATAAATAAATATCCTTAAATAAATGATGCCGAATGCACTTATTGTTTTATTACCTTCTCTACCGACACTCCAGGAGAACTATGGATAAGATGTTTTTCATCCTTGGCGTCACGAGGAATCCGCTAGGGTTGGAGATTAAAATGCTGACAATTTTATCTATGGTCTCTGCATAGTCTGCGATTAGTTAATGATCTAAATTTAAAAATTACGATTTTTTGCCTCAGACAGTACAAATTGATTGACATTATTAAGGATCTCTAATATAAGTTTAAAATAGGCTTTTTTAATGTTGAGTTTTTTTTTAAGAATGTTAGAGTGCCTTTAGGATCTGTAATAGATATTTTTTTAATGGTTAAGTTATAATTACTCAATCAAAGATTGATTACAAGCTGCTTATTGCTAATAAATATAAATTAAGTAATTATTTGATTCGTTTCGTTTATTATAATTATTGTAACCTAATATCGTATTCATAAAATAATATTTTTGGGACCGTAAAACCGGATAGCTGGTTTTAGGCAACCTTTTGAAATTCATTGATATACTTTAAGGTTAAATTTAAAGTTAAAAGTGCTGATTAATATTTTTTTAAATTTTCAAACACAAGTATCCGATATTTGGTGCTTCTCCCCTACATTGGAATGGTTACTGGATATTACTTTCCATATATATAGCTTCTGACTTCATCTAGTGAGACCTCATGAGGCATCTGGTAAGAGGAGCAAAT